AAGGTCATCCAGAAGTTCAGTGGCAGAGCCAGGAATAGAAGCTGGGTTTCCTGACTCCCCATCCAGTGAGCTCTCTTCATTAAACCGTGCTGGGCAAAAGATACTTGAGCATGTCATCTGGGTATCAGTTCTGGCATCTTCAAATCATTTAGCCCCCTTTGAAACTTTGGAGTCTCTGCGTACGGGGGAAACACTGACTCAAGATTTTTGAGGCAAGGCTGGGCACCGAGGCAGCTCAGTCTGGCACATGCCGCTGGGTTCAGTGCTGGGGAAACTGGGTGGAAGCCTGTCCCCTGTGTTAAACAGGAGATTGAAGTAGACAGCCCAAATCCCCAGGAGCCTTCAGACCAGGGAGTCTACCCTTAGCCCTCTGCCCAGCTCTGCACACTCCTCATGTGCCCGTGGGTGCATCAATGATGTGTTCTGTGTCTCACTTCCCTTCTGTAGGGCGAAATACCACCCAGCTGCCTCGCAGGGATGGGGCAGTGCCTAGGTAGGGCCCAGCTGCAAAGTCCTGGGCAAGGGGGTGTGCTGGAAACCCCGTGTATTGTTAATGACCAGGCAGCAGCCCAAGGGCAGGAGGAGAAGGAGCTGGTACCTGCAGAAGAAAACCTACCTGCAGCCTAAGGATCTTGCTGCATATCCCTGGAGGACCTTCTAAAACAAGAGAGCAGGGATGACATGGAGTTGGGGAGGGGCACCGGAAAGGGCACGGTGATGGAGATTACCTGCGAGAATGCCCCAAACAGCCGGTGATGCTGCCACGCATGGAGGCAGAGGGTCCTGAGCTCATTCCCTGCCTTGAAGCCCAGCACCTTGCCGAGGCACCCCCGAGCCACTGGTCAGTGCGTGTGTCCCTCTGCGCCCAGGTCTCTGCCCTCAGCCTCCCTCTCCAGCTCAAGCTTTTACCACTTGCTTTCAGCTCTGAAGGTCCCTGCTTCCATCAGCGATGCGTTGGCCAAGAATATAGCGGTTCCCTGCCCACACGTGCTATCGGTCCTGCCAAACGGGAGCAGGTGTAGGCTCTGGCCACGGAGCTTGGCCTAGATGAATGGGCTGCTTCTCAGAGCCAACTCTGCAGTGCTCAGAGATCAGGGGCATGATGGGCACGAACACACAGCTCACGGGAACACGATGCTGATCAGAGCCCTTTGCACCATGTTGCCATCCTGGGCTTATTGGCACCCAGAGGCCCCAGTGAGCGTCTGCCTGCTCTATTTGCCTCAGTAGAGTGCAAACGAATAGGGAAAGGCAATCTGCCCCAAACAGGTTTCGTCTTACTGGGATGGGAGAAGCACAGAGATATTGCACGAGCTGCTGCATTGAATGGCAGCCAGCCCCGTTGGAAGGCAGAGGTGCAATGTGCCCCTGGGCTAGCAGCTGGCTGCGGTCCTGCCATGAAGACACCCCGGGCTTGATGCTGTCCATTGTCCCAGAGCAGCATGACTGTCACAAAAAAACGCTCCGGTGAACGTATGCATTGTCCGCAGCCCCCAGCTGCCGAGTTAAACATGCAGAGCAGCAGGAACCGCTCCTCCCTTCTCTTCCGCTACATGCAGAGGGTGCTGGGGATCATCCAGAGGGTGCTGAGACTTTGCCCTTCATAAGCTGGACGTCCCCAAAAAGACTTTCAAGCGGTCCCAAGTTTCTTAATGGAGCTGGAAGCATGCGGGGAATTCTCTGCTGGGGGTAGGTTGCACATTGCCCTTGTTAATTTTATCTGAAACTGGACAAGGCGGGGAGGGGGGGTGGGAAATTCCAGGCATTCATTTCTTTCTTCCTCTCCTTTCATTTCTCCTTCTGTTTAATGGCGAGCTGTGGGGTAAAGGGCGGGGGAAGGAGCTCCACAAGGGCCTTTATGAACCCAAGCAGGAAGGAGGAGAAATGTCACAGTGCTTTATAGGCTCATAAAACCAGCTTCAATGCAGCAGTGGGAGCAGCCGCACAATGGAGCACAGAAGGACAAAGGGAATAAGGGGCTTGCCATTGACACTCAGTTTGCAAAGGTCTCCTATTGGCCAAGCCGGCCTTCGCCAGCACAAAGCCTTTGCAGACCCAAGTGGAGAAGAGATGGCTACTACCTACCGCTTCAGCCCCCAGAGCGAAGGCCTGGCTGTCCGCACCCCACCCGAGCAGAGGGATGCTCCTTGGATTAAGCTAGTGGTTCTCAATCCTTCTCAACTAGGGGCCCCTTGGAAAGTGCCAGCTCTTAGTTTTCACTCTTCCTCCCAGTGCAGAAAAAGAGGAGAGCAGTTGTTCTGTTGCAAAGAACCCAGAAATCCCAGTGATGGATTTCTGCTCGAAATCTCTGGGTTTGTCTTGTGAAGCACGTTTGCACCCCTAGCAGTGCTAGCATTGCGTGTGGCACCCTTGAAAGGGCTTCGGGGCACCCTGGGTGAGAATCACTGGGGTAAGCCCGTTAGAAAGATGATGGGGTGAATGCGGAAGCCTGGGCTAGAAAGCTGAACTGCCCTGCAAGACGGAGAAATTGAAGCAGAAGGGAAGGAGGGAGGGAGGAGTTCAAGGGGCTAAATGAATTCAGGTGTCGTCAGCGCTTGCAGTCCACCGTCACCCGCTCCCCTTGGGATTTCTGTTCCATTTGTTCCTCCTCCTTTCAAAGAGGGGACCTCAGAGGCTCTTTTGTGTGGCCGCAGCACAATGCCAGCTCCACGGAGCCAGGCAGACACTTCAACTGCCGCCAGCAGCTTCTGCAACCACCTCCGTCACGCTCTTCCTGACCTAGGCTGGGCCAGACAGCATGCGCTTGTGCACTTGCAGCGGGTCTTCTGTTTGCCTTTTGGGAGAGTCAACTGCTTCCAGACAACTTAACGCAAGCAGGGCTTTGAAAACAGTTGCTCTTGCCAAGAATAAAACAACAGAGCACCATCACCCTCACCCCTCTCCAGTCAAAGCGGGGGGGAAAGATGCTACTTTACTGCAGCATGGATGCCGTTTTGAAAGATGTGCACTGCATATACACGCACACGCGAGGCTAGGAACCCTAGGAAGTTCCCAAAGCTTAGATTGCAGAGAAGAGGGGGAAAAGACAAGACCTCCTTGCTCCTGAAAGCAGCAGCTAGAGCTTGTCAGACAGCTCCGGGCCCTCCGCTCAGCTCCGCCATGCAGGGTTGGCACTGAGGAGGGTCAGTACTATCCAGCACCAGCCGCTGCTGCAAAAGCCGTTCTAGGGAAGGAGGGATGAGGAGTAGCTGCAGTGCCCTTAGGAGGGGGTTTTGGCTCAGAGCACGAGCCCACGTTGCACAAGGAGCAGACTTATTCTTATCCTCCAATGGCCTGAGGATGGACTAGAGATCAAGTCTAGGCAGGGCAGAAAGGGAACCAAATCCTTCTATTGTGGCAAGGGCACTTGCCGCCTCAATGCTGCCTAGACAGAGGCAAGCCTGGGGGGAGAAAATAATCCCTTCTGTACTGCCCCAAGCTTTCAGAAGCCTTAGTGCACCATGTCCTCTCTCAGATGCTGGCTGGTGATCAAACCTATTGCCCTCAACCTCCCACCCAAGCGGATACCCAGCACATCCTATTAACGGCACACGCTGCCTGCTACAAACTCCAGCTGCTTGCATGCAATGGAGGTGTGGGGAGGTGCTTTGCATGCTATTTGCATGGGGAAGAGGCTGAGTCTGGGGGTAGTTTTTCCACCCCTGGACATGTGCCTTCTTAGCATAGAGGCAGGGTGTGTTCTCCCCCACAGCCTTTACCTCCGTCGTGTGCTGGAGGCAACACCTTAGGATTTCAAGCTGCAGAAGAGAAGCTTAAGTGCAATGGGCAGAAGACATAAATGAACGTTCCCATAAGCTTTGGTTTAGTCCATACTTAATTGGCAGTGGCCACTCACTCCTTTCCCCTCCAGGATGAGAGCCACATTGATTAAAGCCTCCGTTAAAAGGAAAGTCAGGGACAGAGGGGCCATGACCAGGTGCAAGACAGACTCTACCCTGCCAGGTCAGACTTGCCTTCTATGTCTGGGGGTGAAAAGTTACCACCAGACTCAGCCCAAAGTCATTCATGCAGGTGCAAGGGCCTGTAACTTTCCCTGAATGCCATTCCAAGCATCCACAAAAAAAAAAAAAGAGATATATCCTCTAGGCTCAAGCCTACAGCCAGAGTGGGGACCAGCCTCACTGGCGTTGCTGGGGCCACATGCTAAAGGGAAGGTCTCTACTAGAGACCTACATTCTTTCATTAGGTTTGGTCTTTGTCTCCTCCCAACCATCAGCCATTTGCTACCATAGCCTCTGTCTTAGCTGTGACCCACTTCCTGCTTGACCCATGGGGTTCACAGCAGTAAAGGAAAGGAAGACAAGTTGTGTGCAATAAGCCTCAGTGCACAGCTAGCTTCCCCTCCCCACACTGCCCACTCAAGACGCCACCACAGACTGCGGAGCTTGGCCCTTGTGCCAAGGACAGAGCCGAGGGGCACAGAGTATGAAAGGAGCCTCCATGGAGTCCAGGAGTTGAGCTGCTTCTCAGAAGAAAGCTTCTGATCTGATGCATCTGGCAGGCAGTGCTGGCTCAACGAAGCAGCATTAACACCAGGCGACAGCTCCTCAGCAGATCCTTTTTAGTCTTTCCACATTGCCCATCTCCTGACACACGCACACAGCTTAACGGCTCAGGTCTACTCTTTGCTTTTTAAATTTAATGAATTTCTCTGGACCACATGGTGGGAAATAGGGAAGAGATACACAGCTGCAGAAAGGGCTGAGAAGACCCAACCAGATTGTACAAGGAAACCTGAAATCTGAAGTATTGCAAGAGGATGCAACTAAGGATTGCTTTTCTCCTTATAAGAGCTCTCCAGACATGCATACAGACCAGAATAAATCCAGTGCCACTTGTACAAAAGCCATGAGGAGACATAATAAATACAAGTTATTTCCCCACCACAAAGCATCAAGATACCAAGTATATTGCCTCCCCCCACGTTGTTCCAATCTCTCTC